ATTCCTATATGGTCTGTCTTTGAGTCCGTGTAGGGGTCGTAATTGGTGTGGCCCCACACGCTTATCTAGTTAATCCGCAAGGATTTCTATGACAAAAATCCTCCAATAATATATGGTAGAGTTTTGTGAACTTTTCTCCATTTCAAATTTCCTGCAACGAGAGTGAAAGTAGGAAGGACATTTTTGTCTTTACAATTAAATATTTATCTCAATAAAAATATCAATATGAGGATTCGAACCCGGGTCTCTTAAAACAAAGACAACAATCACAACCAATTACACTAAACAAATTTGTTGTATCTTTTTTAGTACAAAGCATACACAAAGTTAGACTCTGAAAATTGGATGAATTTTTCATCATGATTACCAAGCCCACTAAATCTACCGTATATATTTTTATGGTGCTTGATACTTCAGTTTTCATAGTAGCTAGAGTTTCTTGTAATTTTCTCAATTTTAAATTTTTTGCTCTCGCCTTAATTTTTTTGCTAAAGGTAGATTGATAATTGGCTACCATAGAAGAAACTAATTATGTTACTGCGTGTTGTATCCTTGAAATTTTCAATTTAAATTTACTGCTTTTTTTTATCTTTGTTCTTATCTCTTTTAACTTCCTCCGAAATTCCCTCTATCGTGCAATAGTTTACGCCCCTTTCACTTTTCAATACAAGACCGTCTTTGAAATCAATCTTTTGGTATCTCTTGGCACTACGATTTTATTATTCGGGATTTAAGCTAGGCAAGTAGAAGATTTCAACTCCGATATCAATCCATGACAAATAGAATGGAGTTCAATAAATGGAGTTGTAGAAGGAGGATTAGAGATTGAATTTTTTATTGAAACATATGTCTCTTGAGATAAAAATTTGGTTCTACAGCAGAGAGTGGTGACTATTGGACCTTTAGGTTTATGGTTTTTGCAGCTAGGTCGATTCTTTATTCAACCTATTGGAACTGATAGATACGGAGTGTCTAATTTTGTGCCTTATTACTTCGATCGAGTTTATTAGCATATTGGAGGCAACCCTAATTTTGTCGTTTGCTCTCAAGTTTTATTGGTCCCCTCTTAATTGAGTTGTTAGTATATAGTTGACTTGAATCAACAACTCTCTATTTCTTTTTTATTAGTGGCATATTGTTCCTAAGGAGTGCATTGAACCCTTTATGTAGGATTGTGAGGTTTAAAATTGTGTTTCAAACTATCTATGGCGTGTGGGAATTCCAATGAGCTTTTGTACTCTATCTTTCTTGACAATCAACTAACCAATAACATTTTAATTGGGGCTTAATTATCATTATAAAAATGAGATCAATCATTTTTATATTTTATATTCTTATTTCTCCAAAAGTTTGACCTATATATTCTTTCTTTATATATCATCTAGATCGAAGAATTGTCAATAAAATTAAACGGGTTGATAGACTTTAATGTAACATAAAAATACAAATAATCAAATATGAACATTCCGGCCAACGGGTCGGGTTATAAGCTAGTAATAATAATAGGCTTTTGGATTAGCCGCCATGCCACGTACCCCGACGAGCTCTACCCGCCATTTTCGGTGTTCTGCATTTTTTTATTTTTTATTTTTTTCTTTACAGTAACGGAGGCGGTGATCCGTTCCTTAGTATAAATTTCAACACCTATTTTTTGGATGTTTTCTTCTACATTTTGTTTTGTTATTTTCCCCAAATTTAAATTAAGTAGTTAAACTAATATTCATTGTCCAATTTGCACTCAGTTTACATGCACCCCAAATTCACATTGTATATTATACAATTTGACTACCTTGGATAGGATTAATGCAAATATTTTTTTTATTAGTATACATAGTATATGTCCATAATCGACTTAGCCGGTTTGATATCCAATGATTAAGAAATGAGTTTTGTAACTTAAGAATAATATATCGATTATAGGCAAAGGCTAGCTTACGATAGGCGCTATACATTTGTGTTCACATCAATTATTTGTACTTTTATAATTTCGAAGAATTAGAATTGTTGATTTTCTTTTTAAGATTAAATGAATTTTATGGTTTGGATTAGAGAATTGGGGACTAGGGTTGACTCATTAGAAGTTAGAGTATAGTATCATGCTTCAAACTCTGATTAATTTATTATTTAAATAACAAAACTGGACGACCATAACAAAACTGGACGACCATATTGTCAAAGTATACTGAGCCTGAACCATCATTTATGTTTAATACAAACAACTATTCATCAAGTATTGTGTGATTAGTTGAGAAGTTAGTTCACAGATCAAACTATCGTACACCTGTACTTAGGTCACACAATAAATATCACAAATTATTATTTAAAATATGTTACAAGAACATTAAAAAATATCCAAAAAAATTTTAATATAAAAGTCAAATTGGATAAATATAATAATTCATCCCAGCCAACAGGCCGGCCCTAAATCTTGTTGATTATCATTTGTTTTTCAAAGCTATGCAACCGTTTTGAAAAATTTGTTTTTCTAAGCCACCTTAACTTTTATGTGTAATTGTATTTGTTGCAAGATTTCAAATATGTAATGGATGAACAAAATAATAGCATCTACATTTAAATTTAAATTGCATTTTGAATTATATCATGACATGCAGGAGCAGAGTCATGATTTGAGTCTGGGACCTGGAGCTAATTGGTGTGCCATTGTAAAAACAAAGTAATGTAAGAAAATAGTATCTGATTATTATAGTGTCATAAGTCATTATTTGAGATAATCTGCGGAAGTATCTACTTCTTACGGAATCTCAGGTGATGCCCAAAAAAAAGAGCTTTGAATACTAGAAGAAAATCGCAAATTAAAATCAATCCAAACAATAGATATATAAAAAAAACTCCATATGTAGCATGTTTTTCAATTTTTTATAAATGAAAATGATTGCAGATCAATATTATTGTTTGAAAAGTAACAATCCATTAGAGCGAAAGATTGATCTAGTGATACTATCACTGGTATTGAACTTGTACGTTTCATATTCGAATTTCTTAAATAGCATTGAAAACATACCTATAACAGCCTTATAAAAAAATAAATCATTATATAACAAAAAGCTGTTAAACATAAGAATTTAAAAGTTGAAGGATTTGTTTCAAGTATAGTGATTGTAAAAAAATATGAAAGTTTGAAAGTACAAGGCTTGTAAAATTAAATATGAAAGTTAAATAGTTTAAACTATTATTTGGTAAATCAATATGAAAAATGATAAAATAAATAATTTGTTTCGGGCCAAGTTCGAATCTAAACTAAAATATGGAAGTTAAAAGTAATATTATTATTTGATGAAAGAACAAAAAAAAAACTACCTAATTTCTGCAGGCCAAGATCGAACATGCGAGGAGAAAGGCTAGATGATTCACCAATGTAGCATCCAAAACACTATGCATCAATACTGCATGCGGATGCAATTTAATAATGATGTTTAGTTTATACGTAATTTTGAAAAATTCAACAAAGTTCTGTACGCAATTTCAAAATTATCGGGGTTGGCCGCCTGAGTCTCTACCTAGGTCAGACCCTCATGCATGACATTCATTTGTAATTGCATTGATGTAGATAAAAATTTTATCTTTGCAAACTTGCATCTAAGAGCATCCACATTGAAATTGCATTTTGAATTGTATCATGACATGTGATATAGGCCGAGGTTTGGAATCCTATGCTCATAGAATCAAAACACGCAACCAAAGATGCATTAGCAAAACAATAAGCAAAAGCGGAAGAATAATAAGAGCACCTAACCGTTGTGGACCTAGGGATCAACTATACGAATGACCCACAACTAAGATGATCTAGTTAATAAACCACATGCTTCTAGCTACTCGAATTCCACGAATAACTAAGAAAATAATAGAAATTTTGAAATTGCACTCAAACAATGTATTCAATTGATAAAAGACGTGATAAGGTTGTGTACATGAAAGCCCTATTCATAGAGTTCTGAAACGCATAAAACTATCACTAAAGACATAAGGAAACCATGTCCTACTAGGTAGAGGAAAACAACTTCGAATTGGACAAGTAAAAACAATCCTAGGAAAGCAATGATAACATTAAAGGCTTCTAGAAGAGCTTATGGGCGGCCTCCTTCCTTCTCCTCCATGCTTTAAGAAGCTTCTTAGCAGCTAGGCAATCTCTTTCCTTCTTCTTTTTGTGTACGGACCACTTGGGCAGCAGGAAAGTCTTTAAAGTTCCGGCTTAACAGTTCCTTCATGCGCAAATAAAGATTTTTCTAATGGACTTGGAAGATTGTAGGCCAAATTTTGATGACTTAACATTGAAGTAATTGGGCTGGAGGCCTTGTGACTCTTTCAATCTTTTCTTGGACTTGGACCAAATTGACAATTGGTTTTTGAAAGAATTTGCCTCCAAAGAAGGAAAGTATGTAGCCAAATATGCTTGCATTTGAGATTTTAAGTTTAAACTTATTGACTTGCAACCTTGTGACTTTACCTTTGGGTTGACTCTCTTCTTTGTGAACCAATGTTGAATTTGACTCGGTCTTCATGTTGATTCCACATCAACATGACATTCATTTGCAATTGCGTTGATGTAGATGACGGTTGCATCTTTCTAAACTTACATCTAATGCAATTATATGTTGCAAGCCATATAACTTATTATTATTTATATTATTTAATTGTTTATTTTTTGTAATTATATTATAAAAACGAATGCAATTGCAAGTGATGTTGTGCAATAAAATTAAGGCAAAATACAAACGAATAGCCATGAGTATGCACTTTGTACAATAATAGCAAACTTTTGAAAAATATACTAAAATAGTCATTCTGTTAATAATTTTAACATCAATGTTATAGATGTTGATCGAACTAACTTTTTGTTGATGTCACCATTTTTTTCATGACCTTTTCTTATATTTAATACAAAGTTAAATAAAAAAGAAGAAAAAAGTATTCCCCCAACCCCACCTTTTCACTTTCCTCCAACTCACCCCATACCCCTTTCCATCGTCGAAATCGAAAGAATGCCACGATACCTCCGCCGCGACCCCTTCCCTCTCTTCCAGCTTGAAGAAATCAAACATCGTTGCCTCCGCCCACTTGCCATCACTCTTCATGAATCACACCTTCTCATGCGACACCACCAGCGCGATGAATCCCGCCTCCGCACCTCGATCCCGTATGCATGCACCAGATTCACCGACAGGATCACCCGCCTCGAGCTGCGATCACCTTGTCGACCTTGACACCTTCCCGATGTTGCTATGCACCACACACAGGTACCTGGTGGCGGAGCCACGTTATTTCTAGGTGGGGGGGGGGGGGGGGGGGCAAACTTTCAAATATAGGTAAATTCAAATGTAAAACTTATAACAAATTTTGAAAATAGACTAGTTGGTAAGACTTTAGCTCCCTCCACAATGACAATGGTTCAAATCGCTCAAGTGTAGATTTTCTGTCACCTCTCATTGAGATTCATGGCTCCTTCACTGGTACCCCTTACTGTTGAGCCCCGCGTCGCTGAATGACTCGTCGCAGGTGACGAGGAAGCCGGTGAATTGATAAATTCGGGAGATCAATCCCGCCGTCGGGAAGAATGGAGAGGAAAAGCTGTTGGCAGGTTCCAAGGGTGTAAGGAGCAATGTCAAATTTTCAGTAGTCATATACAAACTCGAACCATAGGTACAAACGACGCTATTACGATTAGCAGATTAGGGATTTCTCAACAAAAAACATTAGAGTTCATAGATTGGGATTTCAAATGATTGCCCGTCATCATTGGTTGGCACCATCTCATTCCTTTTTCTCGTCAGGTGTGAAAGGATGTCTTCAGAGATGATAATGTCACAAATCTAACAGGCAACATCCATCTCGACCTACGGGTTTTGTTCATCATCGGACATAATCGGAGCTTCTCGCATGTCGGCATGTGGGGTTCGTTCATTATCGACAACAATGGTGCCTAGACTCATCGAGAATTGCAGATATATCAACAACAAAAATGGAAACTGGAAGGGCTTTATGGCTTTTGGTGCAGAACGATAGACTGTGGTTAGCTTAGATGAAAAAAATTGAAAAAACTAATTTCTAAAAAATATCTTTTTATTTTGAAATTTTAATATCTTTCGGGAAAACCTAATCCCATGGTGAATTCGATAAGCAATTTCAATCAAATGCTACTGTCGAGATTCAAAATTTTGAAGTGTAGATCTAAAAGACAAATAGAGAGAGTGGGGAGGATAAGGGCTGCAACGGCTGCAAGGAAAGGCATAGTCGGGGTACATGGCGAGAAGAGGGCAAACAAAATTGAAGCTCTTTGAAATTTGTTGATGTCTCTTCTGGTTGTGGTCAATCGAAGATTTGTGCATAAGAACCCAGGCACCAATACCGATTCTTATGGTCCTATAGAGAAGCGATCTACTAAAATCTGGTCGTCGCCGCCTCTCCTCCTCCGAAGTAACTCTTCCCCGCAACCATCGTCATCTCGAGGAGGCCCTATTTCAAATCGATAGGCGCGGCTCCTAGGTTAGTGAGGTGGTGGAGCATGCACAGGATATCATTAGCGCGGATAGAGAGTAGAAGAGATGGGGGGGAGGTGCTTGGAGAAGATCTTGAGGTACATAATCTCAGCTCAAATCGGATCCCTAACTTCTTCCCAACTACACGATCTACCATGCGCCGGAGAACACCACCAAACTCCACATCATCGATTTGGAGATATTATCCGGTTTCAGTGTCCGATTCTCATCCAATTCGTTGCGATGAGACCCAATTCGAGGAGCTTCCCAAGCTCCAGATCACAGGGATCGAGCTTCCACGACAAGGGTTCAGGCCGTCGGAGCGTAACAAGGAGATAGACCTATCGGATTGTTGATGAGATGTGAATAAGGAGATGGAATTGCAGGCTAGATGGAGGGTTTTAGCGGTGAGTTTTTTTTTTTTTTTTTTAGTTTTCCCGTAAATGAGTAGGAAGAAGAATTAATGAAAGAGAGTGGAAAATCAACGATAATTTCATTGTGGTGGTTGGAGTTGGAAGGCTGAGGGAGGCAGAGAGATTGCTAGTGTGGGAGGAAGATGATTTTTCATTCCTTTATTTATTTACTAGATTTGAACGGATCACTAGCACCTTATTTTTTGGAACGCACCCCTAAGATGCGTTTTAAATGTAAAACGCACCAAACAGATGCGTTCTACATGTAAAACGCATCAGAGGGTGCAATCCATATTATAAAACGCACCAAACTGATGCGATTTGGGGAGGACGCGGAACGATCTTCAAGATCGTCGGATTAAAGGACGATCAAACGGCTCAGCGCATGCCAGCGGAGAGATCCGCGCCGAGGATCTCAGATCGCACGCCAGCAGTGCAATCCGCGCCGAGGTCAGTCAAACCGCATTGGGAGGATGCAATCTGCGCCTGGGGAAGCGGAAAATGCATTGGAAGAATGCGATCCGCGCGGGGCAAAATTACCGCCTCGTCCCTGGAGCCTGCGATCTGAATCCTATAAATAGCCCCCCTTCCCCTCTCATTTCTTCACACCACAACCCATTCTTCCTTCTCTCTCTAAGTTTTATCTCTCTAAACCCTCCCCTCCCAAAAGCCTAGGAAATAGTCTGTTGGTTGCGGCAAAGTCCGATCTGCCATCAGAAAACATTTCTTAGGTTTTTTCCTCAAAACCCGCCGAGCCGAGCCGAAGCTCTGTCCGAATTGCGCCGAAAAAATGGCCGATTGGTGGCAAGGAGAAGGAGTTTTTGTTGATGAATTTCAAGCGGTACGTACTCATTATTCGGGTTTAATTTTTGTTGTTATCTTGCTTTTTAATTAATCTATGTACTAACCTCGTTGTTATTTTCTCGTAGGCTGCGGAGGACGTCGATATTTACAACCAACGGTATTATCTCGAGCAAGGACCGTTGGATCCAACCGACTTGTACGACCAACCCAACCATCGGTCAAGGGATGTTTGGAACGCTCACCCGGTACATACAATTCTTACCATTTGTCATTCTTTTATTTTGTTAATGTATTTAGTGGAATATAAAATAAATTAATGTTGAATTTTTAATCGTGTTGGTTGTTTTCAATAATTTAATCGAATACATAGCGCCACTTACTTCGACTCTTTATAAAGAGATGCACGTCTAAGGAAATGGGGTTTTAAGCGATTATCATATCCTCCCATTCCCTGGGAAAATCGGGTATTAAGAGATCCTCGGATCCCCCCTTTTTCTGTCAACAATACTGCGTTTCTAAGAAGATGTATACCTCTTCTAAGAGTCTAACGAGTGTTGCTTTGTATTCGATTAAATTATTTAAAACAACCAAAACGATTAAATAATGTACCAAACTGTCCTTACGATTTATTTTTATGTGTACAAATGGAATTTTATTAATTTCAAACAATTGAATATGTATGTTTCTCTTTAAAATATTGATTCATTAACAATGTCATTTAATTTAGTTAATTGTGTATGTTTATTTTACAATAATTAGTATGTATCTCTTTAAATTATTATTCATTTATTATGTTATTATGTTAATTAATTTAGGATGTTCGTTTTATGATAATATGTATGTATCTCTTTAAATTATTATTAATTTATAATACTATTATGTTAATTATATGAAATGTCTTTTTATGATAATAAAATTCTGCTTGAAGTAAAATAATTTAATTTAAGTAATTTAGTTATAAGGATTAAACCCTTACTAATATATACTAATTAACGTGTAAATTTTCCCTAGGAGGCACAAACAATAATACGCTACAGGGCTACGACCAATGTGCTCCCATTCCACCCAGCCATCTTGCCCTTTCTCAAAAGGGCACGATTGGACTCGATCAGACATTTTAACGGCATCAAAGTTGATCGCCAACTCATCACCGCCCTAGTCGAGAGATGGAGAAAGGAGACCCATTGCTTCAACTTGAGAGAAGGAGAGGCCTGAGAAAGGAGACCCATGACATCCTCCATCTGATCCAGCTCATGAAAGGCACCTTCATCAGCTCCATAATGGTAGTTGTGAAAACTACCGTTGCCTGAGAGGAAGTTGTACTGAGGTTGGTTGGGCCGGTCCGGTAGAACTTCTTCTTCATATGATTGATGATGACCTTCACCTTGCTCTTGGTACTGAAAATATGAATGAGGATCATGGTAACTTTGGTAGGGATGATCGCCATATAATTCACCTCCACCATGGATACCAGATGTTTGACCGTGTCCAGAATGACCTCCAACGCCTACGACCGGCTTGGTGTAAACGAACATCTCGGCTTTGGAAAGATTGTTGGACCTCATGAATTCGAGCATGGCGTCTACCTCATCCTGAGTGGTTATGAGATATTCCTCATGCCACAATGACCCACTTTCTCTGTTTGGATATCGGTACACCATACGATCAACTTTTCTCGTGCCATCCATGCAAGTAACGTTAGTGCACATTTGATGGAGGTCTTCGAGCAGCGGTCTGGTAGCGACCTTTATCTTCTGAAAATTGCCACCTACGTAGGTGGCACCCTTTCCGGTCTCTTCCGTGTAACCATTCCACCGTAAGCCAAGCGTGAACTTTTGGAATGTCATCTGCGATAAAACCGTAGTTAAGTTAATACCATAATTGAGTCCAGAATATTGGAACGCATCTTCCCAGTGCGTTCTATTTGTAAAACGCACTTGTAGGGTGCGATTTAAGTGTAAAACGCATCTTCAAGGTGCGTTCTATTAAAAAGGGTGCTATTAGTGTAAATTTTTACGGATGTGTGCTATTTATGTAATTTTTTTTTAAAGGTGCTATTTCTGAAAAAATCCCACAATATTGAGAATCAATATACATTGTTAGTCTTTTCAACATTTTAACTTAGTCAACAATGAAATTCCTTCCCAAAAGTAAAATGTCGCAACCATACAATGATACAAAGGAGCCAAATCATAATTGTAAATGTACAACAACAATAATTGTAGAATGATTTTTCGTACCATACAATGATTTTTAGAAGTGTTTGTTGAACGTGCAGATAAAACATATTTAATGGCTAATCGTAGAGAGAGAACATAATGATGATGTAACCACCTTAGAATATTAGTAAAAATCAGATAGCAATGAATTCATGACAATGTAATTAGGGGACGAGATACGGTCACAACCCCCTTTGGGGTTGTGAGATTCACAACCAAGGGCATTTTGGGTATAACAAAAAAGCAAATTTATTAATTAATTTTTTTGTATTAATTACAGATTGGGAATTAAAAACTCATATTAAATACATGTTTTTTTAAATATAAATCCTACAATAAATATTACTCTCTCCTCCTATCTCTCACTTCCTTTCTAGCAGCCACACCACTCCGACCGGCTGACTTTGCGACCGACACACTTTCTCCAGCAAAATCCTTGAATAAGACTCGCTCCGGCCACCTGCAAAAAAATTATCGCTCCATCAGTGCGCTAGTGGTACGCTATCACTACCACTGGTACCACTACCAGTACAGCGGTACAACTACCATCTGGTAGTGGTAGAGTACCACTGTCATTTGGTACCATTACCTGGTAGTGGTACCAAATGATAGTGGTACGATAACACTACCAGCTATAAGATGGTACACTACCACTACCATTTGGTACCTGGTAGTGGTACGCTACCACTCCACATAGTACCACTACCAATAGAAAAAACCAGATCTGAAAAATAAAAAATCTCATATCTGAAAGACGAAGGGGAGGAGAAGAGATGAGGCACGGAGACGCAGAGAGACTCACACGGAGAAGAGATATGAAAAACGAAGAGATGAGGCAACGACAAGGGTGGAGAGCCACGGATGATTGTAGAGGCGACAACTACGGCAGAGGCTGTGGAGGGCGGCGAAGGCTGTGGTGGGTGGAGGGAGGCGGAGGGCGGCGGCGGTTGTGGTGGACGGCGGCAGCAGTGGAGCCCGGTAGCAGTCACGTCTGATGGAGAATTGGAGGAGGGAGAGAGGGAGGAGAGGGTTAGGGAGGAGTTAGGGTTTTCTTTATTTATATGGGAGGGAGAATAATTGGGTGTGGTAACATTTTCCATTCCAAAAATATCCTTCTTTTAATCCTAACCATCAATTTGGAAAAAAAGATGAAAGAGACAGGAGAGAGCATATCCAATGATTAGAAAGTGGGTTGTGAATCTGACAACCCCCAAAGGGGGTTGTGACCGTATCTCACCCCTGTAATTAGCCATCCATCTCTAAGGATGTGTTATTGTGATTATATTTTATAATGCATTGTCTTTAGAGAAGAGCAATATATATTAGCGACAATTATGGATATATTGTTCATGTTTTGATATTTCCAATTTAAATTACATGTATCTATGAGTCGATTTTCCCCAACACGTGTCCTATGATAAATTATCCGATTTGTTTACACCTAAAAATCTTATCCCGATATGCTACGGGCATATATGTATGAATGTAGGGGAGGACCTAGGTTAGTGATATGTCAATTAACAAACCTTGATAAATTATCCGATCTATTTACACCTACAAATATGAACTCGATCTGCTACGGGCATATATGTATGAATGTAGGGGAGGACCTAGGCTAGTGATATGTCAATTGACAAACCTTGATCCAGTTTTAGAAAAAAAATTATTCGTAAGATCTTATTTTAGTGATGATAGCTGAAGTTAAGTAGCTTTTTTTAAAATGGAAAAACTTTTAGCTGATTTATTTATTATCAACATTGGAGCATGAATTTTTAAATGTTTATTTATCTTATTCGTTGAATACTCTCAATCTAATTCTTGAATATGTCGTTGCATAAATGTTAAGATACCCGCCCAGTCTACACATTATCATTCCTAATTTCGGAGGAATTGATGCATAGATGAGTTGGAATAATAATAGCTGAAGTTAAGGAGCTTTTTTAATATGGAAAAACTTTTAGCTTATTTATTATCAACAATTGGAGCATAAATTTTTAAATGCTTTTTATTGGTACCCAAAATCAATTTGGCTTTTATTGCACTAAATAGTAGCGAGCACATATATTAAAAGACAATATAGTCCTTCCATAAGATGCGCAATTACCATGAAATATTGAATTGGATGGATTCTCACATAGAACGTCTATATATGATTTGTAGGAGGATTTATTTATTCAATGTAATTGCAATTAAATAAAATATAACATCTTCACCCGACATCATTTTTTATAACAAAGTGCAAAGTTGTTAAGTCATAAAAGGGATAAATTACAAGTTTGGTCACTCGAATTACTAAAGAGTTTCACGTTTTCCACTAAAATTACTTTATTCCATTCATGGTCACTAAAATTAGTTCAACATATCAAGTTTGTTCACTCTCCATTAGTCTCGGTTAACTTTTGCTGATGTGGCAGTCAACTCAGAGAATTGACCGTTAAATAAATGACATGCAATTAAATAATAATTAAATTTAATTTTTATAATTTCTACCTCACTATAAAAATAAATTAGATAAAACTAAAAAATAATTATAATTATCATCCTCAGCTCGTTCCCTTACCTCCGCTGCCAGCTCTACATCTTCGCTTCTTCTCCGATCCAAGACCTAATCTTGACATCTATTCGACAGGCGGTCGACTCCCCGACCTCGCCGCGACACCTCTGTTGGGGAAGCCACTCGTCGCCCCCAATAATGTAACGCCAATTTCACCATCTATCTACTTCACACCCACCTTCTGGTCGAACCCATCCCCGTCGCTGACTTCACCCATCTAGGTATAGTTTTCTCCTTCCACCATTTCATTATTATCACCGTCTCCTCCAAAAGAGGGAAATGGACTTTCACTAAGCAGCCAGCTTTCTCTGTATTACCAGCAATTGTTGATAACCCAATCAAGGTAAAGGTTGAAAGACAAAGGATTCTGGAAAGATTTTGTATTATTGTACTAATAACAATTGAGGATTATATACAATGTATCAGTACAAAAACATGGAAACGTGGAGAGCTAATGGAGTGTTTGTATGTAACAGCCGAGAAGGTGTAGCTAAAAGAACAACTAACAGCTATGGATACGGGGGAAGAAATCCCAAAATTACCATACTTGCAAAAAATAATTCCCAACATACAACAATTAAAATAAAAATTCCCAAAATACCCAAATTTTGAGTGGTTCGCTAGGGTTTCAAGTAGGAATGGCAATGGGTAGGGTCGGGTGCGGGGTTACCCTATACCGACTCCTAACCTGTCGGGTAGAGCCTTCTAAAATACCCAACCAAATAACCACTGGGCATAAAAATTATATAACCATACCTTACCCACCGGGTAACTACGGGTATTCGGGTAACCATGAGTACGAATTCTAAACTATGAACTTATGCACATACATACTGTTGTCCATTAAAAATTCTCAATACTTGAAACTGTTCTAGCTTCAACAATCTACACAAATAAAAATAGCAAACACATAATAATTGTTCTTGCTTCTACAATCCACACAAACATAATAATCATCTACATCTTCATCATCAATAATGGTAGTTAAACTCAATTTCTCAAGCTAATCTAAATTTCTCAAGGGAAATTGACCCTTTGGTTAGCGGGCGGGTATAACAGGGCGAGTATATATTATCGATTGCCATACTCGTACCCTATCCTTTATTTTGAAACCGGGTATTACCCGTACCTGCCCCTTAACCAGTCAAAGCGGGTAATTACCCTCATTGACCGGTTACGGTCGGGTAGGGTACCCATGGTTACGGGTGGATTGACATCCCTAGTTTCAAGCGAACCACTATTGAGATCGCTAAGAAACAAAACGATCTATCATGAATTACGTCACTTATTTAACTGTCAACTCTTTGAGTTGACTGCCACATCAGCGAAAATTGACGGAGACTAACGGAAACTAACCAGATTTGAACTGTTAAACTAATTTTAGTGACTATGAATGAAATAAACTAATTTTAATGACTAACGTGAAACTCTTTAGTAATTCCAACGAGGAAACTTGCAATTTACCCGCCATGAAACTCTTTAGTAAGACCATCCACAATGTGGGTGGGGGAAAATGTGGGAAAAGAGGGAAAAGTGGGGAAATTATATGAATTGCTCACAGTATGGTGGGGGAAAAGTGGGTAATCAGTTTAGTATTTTTTTGTTAAAATCAATCTATAGTTGATTTTCTCACTTTATTTTCATATAATGATAATTATTATTACGTACTTAGTGATAATTAATTAATACGAACATTTCGACATAATTTTTTTTTTATTTAGACATATTTTTTTCATCACTAATTAAGTATGACATCATCAGTGACAAAATCACAATAATACGAGGAGACAAAAACACAGTTTTCCAAACAAACCTTTGCTAAAATCAGAAAAAAGGGTTGTCCTTTCCCATTCGCCACTTCCCCCACCATTTGTCTCGTCTGGTGGGTTTTCCCACCTACTAAACCCACAAACCCATTTAATCCCCTATTCCCCACACATTGTGGTCACATTTTCCCTTTTTCCCACAAAACCAAACTCACGCTGTGGGTGGTCTAACATTTGCAACTTGCAAGTTGCAAGCCATATTGAAAATGCAAAGACAATTGAAAATGCATGTTCCCTCTTTCTAGATGGCACTACCTGATTGGCAACAAGCACCAAACCCTGCTCCCGCCACTTCCAACATTGTTAAAATAAGCGGTCTTTTCAAATTCCATTCTTTTACCTACTTCGACCGGAGCAAAGTTGGGGCAGAGAAAGAAATGGTATCCACGCGGCGGCGAAGAGCCGGAAGTGTCGCCATCGCTGCGGAGGAAGGATCAGATGGAGGTAGTCCGAGTTCGGAACCGATTCCAGTTTCTGGGTACGAAGAATTGAGAGACCAAAGAATCAAAGAGAATAAAGAGAGAATGGAGAAATTAGGGCTTCTGAACCTCTCTCTCAAGCTCAAGGCCTCCAACAGAAACCCTAGAAATGTTTCTTCCGATGCGAAATCTGCCAGACCGCCGCCCTCTGATTCTCAATCCCAGAGGCGTTCGTCCAGGTAAGCAATGCCGTTCCCCGAGATTTCCCTTTTTGTTGGGTTGCTGGTAGAGGGTGGGGAAATTAGGGGAAGGAAATTTGGCGGGCACGGATTCGAATGCCTCTCTTGGACTTGCATTGAGAATCCTGCTTCTGGTTCATTTTTTAGGTTGAAGACTCTTGCTCCAGTTAGCTATGCTGAGACTGTGGTGGATAGAAAGAAGCGGGAATCCTCAAAGGTGGTCGAGATTCAATTGAAAGAAGGCTCACAGCCAGAGATTTACACGGAAGAGCATGAGAGGCTTCTGGGTAATTGGCAGAAGGAATGGACTTTGTCCGTGGATGGATATGGTGAAGACGGGAAGCGCATACTTGATCCAGTGAATGGACAAACCTGTCACCAGTGCAGGTTAGTGATAAGTGCATCTCTGTTTCCCCTTGTGCAGCTAACTCTGTCAAGTCTTCAGTTTCATTTTTTAGCAAAGGTAACATAGTAGAGTTCCGTATGCTTAAATGTGCTATACCAGTGCTGGTGGGGGGAAAAAACTAGTCTTTGGAACTTCAGAAGAATTGATCAAATGATGCGAGTAGAATCTCCCAAGGCTTCTAAACTTTCTTGCAAGCTAACTCTAACCAATCCTGCTACTGTTACAAACGATGGGTTTGTTTGTTGCTACTCTTAACTATAAACATTGTTCTTGCAGGCAAAAGGCACTGGGTTTGCACACGACTTGCTGCAAATGCAAGTTGGTCCAAGGTCAGTTCTGTGGAGACTGCTTATTCATGAGGTAACTGTGTACACGAGCAGAACTCTTTTATTTTCCTATTTTCATTTTGTTGGGACACAAATTCATCTGCCACTTAATTGAAGGGTCCTCACGTCCCTTTCTATTTCAATTAATTGTTTAAAAGTCTTAATTTGTTCCGAGAACTAGCATGGATATGGATTTCCAAGTCCAATAGGAAGAATGCTGTTCTTTTACCCAATACCATAATATAGCTATAGGTTAAAGCGTACGAAGAATTCTGCAACCAAGCCAAGATGGGACTCTTCAGATCAGTGCCAATTCAAGAATATGACAGTTTATGGTTATTCTGTTTTTTATGCCTCGATTCCACCCACTTTTGAGCAGATATGGAGAGAATGTGATTGAAGTCAATCAGAATTCAGAATGGATCTGCCCTCCATGTCGGGGTATATGTAATTGCAGTCTTTGCAGGAAGGAAAAGGGTTGGTTGCCAACTGGTAATCTTTACAGGAAGGTTAGTACATTACTTTTGTTGGTTTAATCTTCAACTTTCATGCTGTATCTGAACGTGAATAGAATATTGAGTCTGAATACGGTAATGACTACCTCATATGGCATGTTGGTTCTGTGTCTAAAGCATTGAAATTTGCAATATCGATCCATCAGAGTGTGAAGCCCCAAAACAATTAACTTTTGGCATGCTTTTCAGGTTACTCATCTGGGTTTTAAGTCTGTGGCACATTTTCTCATTCAAACCCGCCGTGGCCCATCTCATCCAGAAGACTCACCTGCTGAAGAAATGCAGCATTCCATTCCCTTACAACTTGAGAATGCATCTGAACAGCAACTTGGAGTCTCTGATGCTCAACTTGCAGATCGCAGTGGTAGCAAAGAAAGAGTGGGAGATGACGATGAGGTTAATGAAGTGAAAGTAAAGATGTAGGGTGGAGCAGCGTGTCCTAATAGTTTTGTGGTGCTCCAGAGTGAAGCTTCTATCATGGTCCCTTGTCATATATTCAAACAATGCTGATCTTTCTCTAAATCGTGCTTCTGTATATGGTCTTATAGGATCACTAGCTCTATGAGCATTTTGCTAAAGGAAGCCTAGATGCAAGTTTTTGCGATTCAAAAGTTGTAAAGATAAAACCTAGAAGAATGAATGAAAATATCCCTTGGTATTTCCTCAAAAAACTTGAAGGTTCCCAATGAATAATCAAAGTCGACTGACTAAATTACAAAGCTGATTGTGAAGTGAAAGACTTTTGCATGAAGAGATTTTCTTTTACATTGGATTACAGCCCGTAATGAGAGTACTGCCCGAGAGTGGAAACCTCGTACCAAGAGTTGAGAGTTTCGGGGTTTATATCAATGCTAACAGTATGTTGAGATAGCAATCCACAGATCCACCATCTCCTACACTTCCTGGTTGGTATCGCACAGTCCTGTTCATCAAGGCAACGGAACTCGCCAGAACATGAATCACACCCGAATTTCTTCCAATACAAGTTTTCAAGGGTACCCGTCTGGAACTCAAGAACCTGGAGAAGTAGTGCGTGCAGAAAAAGAAAAAAGAAAAAAAAACCGAGAGATGTTCAGCAATACTAGTACACGGAAACAAAAGACAGTTGCGGCTTCTCTTACCAAACTGAAGCTAGATATGGTCATGGTACCATCAGCCACAAGAGTTGGCAGTGGCACTGATTGTCAAGAAATCAGAGACACAAGCAAGAACACCGAGGTTTTTTAACGTGGTATCGTCAATATGATACTAGTCCACGGAAAGGATCTCACTCTCAGAATTTTTTGATCTTACTTTCGTTAGTCTTTTTAGACGTACGTCAGCCAATATATATATGTACAACCGCCGACCCTACATTACAAGACCACTGGACATATGCATAATGGTACATAAACTATTATAAATCAACACCCTCCCTCAAATTGATGTTGGGTGCGCAACATCAATTTGGACGATAGGTACCAATGTCTACTTGATCCTACTGCTTTCGTCAAGACATTTGTAGTCTGATCTTCTGTAGACAAATAACTGAGCTGCACAACTCCTTCTGCAACAAGTTGCCTGATGTAATGAACGTGCACCTCTATATGCTTTGTCCGGTCATGTAGTACTGGATTAACTGCAATCTGAATGGCACTGGTATTGTCCCCATAGATCCTCATTAGCAATTGACAGTCTACTCCGAGTTCTTGAAACAACCGTTGTAGCCACACCATCTCCGAGCTTACTTCGGACATCGGCCTGTACTATGCTTTTGTAGATGATTTAGAAACTTTATCCTGCCTTCGACACCTCCAGGAAATGAATGCCCTCCCTACCCTAACACGCCAACCTGATGTAGACCTTCTAGTATCCAAACAACCTACATAGTCGGCGTCAGGGAAAGCTTCAATAGCCGCATCTCCACCTGCAGGAAAGAATAAACTAGTGTCTTTTGTACCCTTCAAGTATCTCAATACCCTATGGACCGCATTCAAATGTGTGGTACACGCCAAACCCATGAACTGACTCAAAACCTGAGCTGCATATGCTATATCAGGACGAGTATGAGTCAGATAGATCAAACTCCCTACCATACTCCAGTAGAAAGTTTGATCTTCTAACAAGTCTCTACTGTCATGACTGAGCTTCAAATCTGTTCCATAGGAGTTGAGCATGGTCTGCAATCAGTATACTGCGCCGCTTCTAGGAGATCAGTAATGTACTTCTTTTGATTCACGAATAAGCCTGCCTTACTCCTTTGAATCTCCAAGCCCAGGAAATAAGAAGCTTTTCCTAATTCCTTAAGATTAAATGTCATTGGCAGAGATTCTGTCAACTCTCTAATACCCTCACTATCACTTCCTGTCACATCATATCATCGAGATACAATAGAAGAACCGTATTTCCATGAACAGTCTAACAAGTAAACATTAAGGGATCATTCTGACTTTGCACAAATCCTGCCTGAAGAATAGTTCCATGGAATTTTTCGAACCAAGCACTTGGTGCTTCTTTCAAGCCATACAACGAGCGTCGTAATCTGCACACCATTTCTGGTGCACCTTTCTCATAATCATGAGGTTATTCCATGTAAGAAGTCCAAATCCGAGGCGTCCTTATGATCGTCCACCGGATAATACATAACATGTTCTAAGAACACCACATGACAGGAAATATGCATACGTTTGGCAGCCGGATCATAACACAGGGGCCTAAGTTCAGGTCCTCAAACCTCTTTTTTTAAGTAGTATCTTAAAGCGTTGTGATTGGCTGATTCAATTTTAGGTAGTTTGTGAGGAGTTATTACTTAAATAGTTGTTAGGGTTATTAAGGAAATTACAGTTAAATAAAAAAACGTAACTACCCACGTATAGTCTTTTTCTTTTTCCTCCCGCATCTGAACCGTTTCTCTATCAAATCAAAACACATACATCGGTCGTCCCTCCCGCTGAGTTCTCCGATCGACGATTCTGCTCCCGCAAGCATTCTCCGCTGACGGCAGCCAGATCCTGTTGTCGTTGTCGTTCCAGTCCACCAACGCCGAACCCTAGCTTCCGTTGCCGCCGCCGGTCCAGCTTCCTTGAGCTCTCTGGCCGGCGATTCTGCTCCCGCAAGCGTACTCCGCCATCGGCTGGAAGCTCCGTTGCCGTCGTCGGCCCAGTCCACCAACGACCTACTTCTCTCGTTAGCATCGACATCGCTTCCATCTCCGGCAGCGCTCCCCAGCTTCCGACATCGTCCTACTCCTCAACGGTTGTCGTCGTCTTCCTGCCGAGCGTAGCTTACCTCCGGCGTCGGTCCTTCCCGGCGTTGCTTCCCTCCGCGGTCGCTCCCATCGTTCCCGTCCGATGTTGCCTCTACAATATCAATAACTAACAAGCCATTATCAATAAATAATGTCCACATATCGGCCCACGACATTATTCCTTTACAAACACCTTTGTCACTATTATTAACAATAAATATGACACCTTTATTAATAAATATAATTACTTTATTAATAATCACAAACCATTTTTGAATAACTTTTCAACACTACTAGATCACTACCTAGGTAGACTTTTTAACCAAAGTAAACTTGAAAATAGTGAATAAAGTTAAAAATACCGCATATGGGAATCGATTGAGCTCACAACTTGGTTATTAAATTAGCAGGTACGTATTTATGGATATGTGGCTAAATTTATATGAATATTAAACCATTATTATTAACATTTTAGTTGCTAGTTTGTAACTTTCAATAGTTAATGGGTTGCTGGTGGATTTGGTGGAGGTACATGACTGATACATTGAACTATCAATGGTTTTGGACCAATTGTTATCGATTTAACTTATCGTCATCAATATTAATGTAACTTGACAAATGTCATCAACGTTTATGCAAGGTGTCGATTTTTTCCATCATTAATAATTTTTGTCGCCATTGTCAACGTTTTCGTATCTATTATTAATCAATCTTTGGTCGTAAGGAAAAACTTGTTATCAATGTTTCTGTCTCTATTAGTAAGAATTTTTGTCGCCATTGTCAACATTTCTTATCCCAGTTTTCCATTATTAAGCAATCTGTGGTCATTTTCAACATTTCAATTTCTTTACACTGTTACATTTTTGTATAATAATAATTACTAATTTTTGTCGCCACCATTAGTAATCAATAGTGGTCCATTATTAATAATTTTCGTCGCCATTGTCAATCATTTTACACAGTTTTGTTATAGTATAATTAACATATTATTAATCAATCTTTGAACGTTCTCAACGTTTTTGTGTCCATTAGTAATCAATCTGTGGTCGTTGTCAATTCTATGGGGTCGGTCGGTCGGCCACGAGGAGCGCTTTATCGTCACGACGCCGGCGAAGTAGAGCAATGGTAACAACTGGCGACGCTAATGAAAGGAAGTGGTTGTATGGACAGTGGCTGCGCAGAAAGGAGGCGAGATGAGACGACAGATGGCTTGTTTGCCCAACTTGAAGTTTATCCTCACTTGACACCCCATATGTTCTCCGCCCTACTCTGTTTCCTAACAGTTTTATCAATCAGTCCTCCATTCTTCGGATTCCTCCCGCTACTCTTCATGTATCCTCCTTTGATGCATGAGCAATAGATGTAGGGATACGCCTCGCAAAATTTATTTTGTGTGTTTCTCTTAGGTGTGTCTTCCTTCCTCATGCCAAAGCCTTTATGATGTGCATATTCTTCATAGAACAACCCAGCATGGTATCTAACACAAACCGACGCTCTATCCATGTTGATTCACCATATTCATCGCTGTAGAAATCATAATGATCGGTTAATAATGATGCAAATTTTTGTTAATAGTAGAAAATTTATCAACTAGATGTACCCACATTATCAATATTTATTCACATACATGTTAACAATATCAATTGATTTTTAAACAAACCCCTACATGTTGGATTAATAGAATGTCGATCAATTACAATGTCCATGACTGATACAGAGCAACCATCATTCACATCGCCATCATCCCCAACTCCTAAATCTCAAACATGGACAAACACCACACATCACGTCATAACCAGATAGAGTTTTTAACAATCTATATAAAAAACTCTACTAACCTTCCAACGTTGCATTATCCAGTGTAATTTCATCTTCGCTTCCGTTCACGTTCTTGCCACTATCTTGTTCTTTCAAGTTATCATCAAAAGGTACTTCATTCAGATATACAACGTTGAATATGTACTAAACTTTCTGCATTTTAACAAAATATTGTCCCACTTTCAATAATATTAAGCTACATTATTAAATTTTTAACTTTCTTTATTATCATTTTAACCTACATTATTAACATTTTAACTTACGTTATTAACATTTTAACAAATTATTAGTTATACTTTCAATAATATAAAGCTATATTATTAGCATTTTAACATTCGTTATATAAAGTTGGTTGCATTATAACTTGCGTTATTATCAATTTAAACTACGTTTTTATCATTCAGGCCCATGTTATTAACATTTTAACGCACGCAATTAAAAAAAGCTTCTTCATTTTAACCTGCGTTATTAACATTTTAAGCTACGTTATTATCATTTTAACCAACGTATTAACATTTTAACTTACGTTATGATCATATGAACCCACGTTATTAACACTTTAACAAATTATTGTTACACTTTCAAAATGTATTAAACTACATTATAAACATTACAAATTCTTTCCATTTTATTCTACGTTACTAACATTTTAAGATACATTATTATCATTTTAACCTAAGTTATTAAAATCTTGTTGTCATTCTAACTTACATTATTAACATTTTAACATTCGTTATCTATCTTTACCCTTAAGTTATTAACATTATAAGCAACGTTATTATCATCATCACCCAAAACAATTATTAACAAACGAGTTATTAACATTTTAAAACACAAATATTTACCAAATAAAGGGTTTTCGGTGAGTCCATCACGTCGAGCATGGAAACTGGAGGCCGACTACAACGGGAAGCTGGTGGCCGACGTCGACGGGAATCTGACGAGAAGATGGTCGCGACGGGGGAAACAACGGCGACCAGGCAGCCGTGACGGTGGGTTTTCACACGGAACGTGATCGCGACTTGACGACGGCGAGATTGCAGACGAGGAAACCTAAACTGACGTAGCCAAGACTTGACGACGACGTGACCCAGCAATGACACATTAACTCTGAACGTTTGCACACGGAACGCGACTGCTACCGGCGACGGGTTTGCAGCCGTGGCTTCGAGGGAAACGGTTTTAGTGTTCGAAGGAGGCCAATTTTCCATAAATGAATTTTCAATAGTGAGGTATCGCAAACGTGGTTTCTACCGTTTTCCTTTTTAATTATTTATAACATTAAATTTTTATTATATTCCAGTCTTACCCTTTTAGGTAGTTAGCTAATTATTACTAATGTTTTTCTCTCCCCTTCTCCTATTGGCTGGAGATGGTTTAAGATCTTCCTTAAGTATTAGGCCTTAAGGACCTGATCTGACCCGTAACACAGGTAGCCTTTATGCTTACTACTATAACCAACAAATGCACGACATGCAATTTTCGGAGACAGCTTGTCACGAGCCTTCTTGGGGAAGAGAACAAAGCAGAGACAACCAAAGACCCGGAGACGGGAGTAATCAGGCTCTGATACCATGTCAAGAAATCAGAAACACAAGCAAGAACACCGAGGTTTTTTAACGTGGTATCGTCAATGTGACACTAGTCCACGGAGAGGATCTCCCTCTCAGGTGTTTTTTTATCTTATTTTCGTTAGTCATTTTAGACGTACATTAGCCAATATATATATATATATATATATATATATATATTCGCCGACCCTACACTACAAAACCACTGAACAATTACATAATGGTACATAAACTATTATAAATTAACACTGATCTCGCTGCAAAGTTCCTCCCAACAAATGCCACCATGTACCCACTTAGCCACGGCGGCATCGAAACATGGATCGAAGACAGGATTGCTGTCATCGCCTGCATTGGCCAGAAGGATACAATTCATGTTTGTTATGGACATCAAGACAACCACCATCGTCATCGTGGACGCCGTTCTCGTCCTCTTGAGTGCCCGCATTTTCCCCATCACGTTTATGGCAGGATTAACATCATTTGTTTTTTCTTGTTCTTTTTATGAATTCATGGGTTTTAGGATAGACGAGGCAGCGCCATGAATGGAAAACAAAAGGGAAACTGCCAAACTGGAGATGGAAGAAGAATTAGTAGTGAGTGGGCGTTGGAACTTGGAAGGACGCCCCTTCTTAATCTATTGTCTTGCTGGAAGGAAAATGTGGGAGTTACTGTTCTTCGGTTTTCTTCGACCTTCCTTTTTTTTATTACTTGGAGAATTGCATTTGAACTGCGTATTTACTATTTGCCGCCCACACTTTCAAATAAAATGACACTTTTGTCCTTTATCGTTTTAAATCTTAAATCTAATCGGTTTGTATTGGTTAACCACTAACCGATAAGCCCGTTAATCAATAAGCACAAAAATCATACCGATAACCGAATCGATAAGCCTTATCAGTTAACCACCTTTTATCAGTTCAGTTTGCAGTTAAACAATAACTACTAAAATGAATTCCAACAAGTACGGTTAACCTAAAGGAACCAATATCAAACCAATAGCTTCAATTTTCTTTCACAAAATATAATAAACCGAAACAATAATCACTTATAATACACAAATCAGCAATCCATTTAAGTTTAACAAGTATCATTTAACATCAATTTCGGTCCACAAGCATAACAATGACAAAAAGTACATAGTACTAAATATTAAAGATGAATAATCATACAAATAATTTATCTACATTTCTACATTATTAATATAAAATAATAATTAATATAAATATAATACATCATTCATCACAATTTCGTAATTTAAATCAAAATTCCAATGCATAAATAAAAAATAATCAAACATAGTCATCAAATTAGCGAGTACCAATTACCAAGACATCAAACACAAGCCCTACAAGATAATCATCATTCACAATCATCAAGGAAAGTAAGATTACAAGAGTATGAGGTTCGCTCTAACGAATGCAAGGGGAAGTTAGAGAGAGGTGACTTTCGCGTTCTAACCATTAAACATATTTGAGACTCTTGGTGGAGGGTTGTTTGCAATAGGCAGGAATTGACAAGTTTGGAATTGTGACTATAGTTGGTTTTGAATCTTGAAAAAATTTCGCTTAGCCAAAGTCCAAAACTATGTAGTTATACTAGTAGGCGGTTAACCACTAAACAAAATACTGCTAACCGAAACTAAACCAATAAAAAATTATCGGTTATCGGTTAACCACTAACGACTTTTATTGGTTCGGTTATCATTTAAAACTGATAACCGACTAACCTTTTACCTCCCTTACTAAATCATCTAACTTAAAACTTTACAACACTTCAACACTACTACCTCTCATCTGTTGCATCTCCTCGATGCCACCAGACTTTTATGAGTCGTCGAAAAATTCTGGTCAGTGGAGATTAATGGGAGCAATTATGGTTGTACCTCCCCATTAATATATTGTCAACGTTAATAGCATGGGCACATAAAATTTCATTCCAAATTAACTTCTATCTCTGTCACCCTTATAAAAAAAAACTTCTACCTCATTAATTTCCCTCATTTATTGTTAATTTTATTTCACTTTCAAAATTCCTCCACCTTTGTCTACCATTCATCAAACCCCGGAATCCCTTCGACAAGGACGATCAACACCCCTTATCCCTCTCGATTGAAGCTCTCACATGTCTTACTGGCATCATTTTCCAGAAATCATCGATTGTCTTCCTGGCATGTCATTCCCCATCATCCGATGGAGATGCTCGATATGACGTAATCTTTCAAACGACGCGGACTGGTCTGCCCGTCGATTTCGGACGCCTGCCGGCATCTAATTAACCCACATTTATATATGTCCATTTCCCTAATGCAATGGTTCCAATCAAAATTGTCTCTCTTGAAAGTAAAATGCTCTCAACAGCTCTGCAGAGAAATTCTCTACTGACGCCGGGCATACGGGACACTGCGCTATCGCTCACAATCCAAGTTTTTACCGAAGAACCGACAGGTACGACTGTGTCAGCCATGGAGATGGTCGTCGAAACTGACATGGCACAATCCTCATCGCCCTTGTAGGTGAATGGAAAGAACATTGAAGTTGTGGCTATTTCAGCTTTTAGCTGTCCCCCTTCCGGGCGAATCCAAGATCGGGTTGATTGCGCTCCCTATGGAAGTAATGGACCTCTATTTTGAATGTTTTTTTTGTAAAGCTTAGTAACGAACAAGATTACTTTCTTGCTCTGACCGACAGACCATGGGTGATCTTCGCTCATTACTTGGTAGTCCAACAATGGATTCCAAAATTCAAGGTCTCAGATCCCTTACCCAGGAAGATGATAGTTTGGGTTCAATTGCCAGCCTTGAAGGTCCATTTCTACCACAAGGAGGTCTTGACTACTCTTGGAAACCTGATCGACCGAGGATCTGGTTGGATGATGAATGGCAGAAGGTGGAATACGAGAATCTCCCAACGGTTTGCTTTGAATGGGCCAAGATCGGCCATGTCTTTGACGCCTTTCCTCAGCTGCTCCCTGCCACAGTTCCGACAAATGGATGGGGGTCCGGCGAGGCGTCAGTGGAGACTTCGCTGGCGGAGTAGTCGGAGGCAAATACGGGCTTCAGACCTTGGATGCTAGTCACCCAGAAGACCCCGTGATATCATCGCGAGGAGAATAATAGGGGAAAGCCCGATTCTGGAATGGATTCTCAGGCTTACGGGACTACGGCTAAATTGAGGAAAGATGGGGCGGCTGCAAAGAAGGGGGGTATTTTGCTACCTAAAGTGGATAATCAAAGACCTCGCAATCTAATAAAAGCGGCACAATGGAAAGGAAAGGTAGCAACGGGCAGATAGGAATTGATGATGTGAGAATGGAAAAGGGAAGATGGAGAGTAATTCGACCTCGGCAAGCAAGGGTTTTCTCAGCCCAAAACCTGTCGGAAACATCTATATGGGAAATGGGCCCAATGCCCAATGACACTTCTGTGGCCTCTACATCAAAACTAGTTTTAGAATCACCCACCATGCCTAACAATGGTCCACGAGTTGCAATTGGGGCCGGTGGGCCGGCAGCCCAAGTCTTAACTACCTATGTGGTTTCGTTCCCTCCCTCTATTCACACCATCAATGGGCCGAACGGGACTACGATGCAGATAGTAGAGCTCCCTTTGGTTGGAACTAGCAGCCACAGTGATAATTTTGAAACCTCCCATCCGTCGGCAAACACGAGAACGAAGAAAAACAAGTCTGGAAAATCTCGAAGCAATAAAGGATCCCCGACCAAAGCTAAAACATTGAAGATGCTCCAAGTTTGGTCACCCCTGAAGGGCAGGAAATCCAAGTCAAACTCACGCATAGCTACGCTCACCCTGCAGGAAATCAATGTGTGGACAGAGGCGAAAAACCAAAACAACCAAGCTGTTGGAGAACGCTCCGCGACAGCTGAAAGTGATGACCAACCAATGCCGACCTAGCAGGCGCAGGAAACCTCTCAACCAACTCCGGATGCCTAGAGCCTCTTCTCTATCCCTCTCGTTCTCTATTAATTTTTTCCTTATGTCTAGTAATAATAGCATTAAGATTATTTTTTGGAATGTTGGTGGTGCAGGAAATATAAGTTTTGTTCGCTCTTTGAAGCTGGTAGTTCAGCAAAATCGGCCGGATTTTGTTATCTTGCTAGAGACCCAGATCAGCGGTGCTGCTGCGAACTCAGTGTATGACAAGCTAAGTTTTGATGCGATGATTTAATTATCAACCGCATAATAACACCTATTAGGAGATATGAATAAAATCAAATACGTACAAAGAAATCGATTTCAACATAATAGCAACGAAATTCGCCTAATGAATAGTAGCACCTATGGAGATTTCCTACTAAATAATAACATATATTAGTAGTTAGAGAAAAAGTCAAAAAAAAAAAATCTCAAAATGACTCATAAAGTGGTCTCCATCTTCCCCATGGTTCTTAATTCACATACTCCTAGAGTTTGCATTAATTATAAAATTACCTTTGAATGAATAGTAAATGTCAAACCAAGAGTTTTATATATAAAAAAAATCTCAAAATGACTCATAAAGTGGTCCCATCTTTCCCATGGTTCTTAACACACATACCCCTAAAGTTTCCATTAATTACAAAATTTCCTCTTAATGAATAGTAAATTTCAAATGGTTCTTAATAGACATTCTCCCAAATAGGGCTGGAAGTTTGGTACTGGTATTTGGGATATATCGAATACAGTACCGAATTTATCACTATTTGGTATTAACGAATATCGACTTCTTTTTTAGGGATTGAGATTGGAATTTATTTTGGAAAGCTATTAGGTATTTGAGATTATGGGATTGGGATCGGTATATACAGAAATTTCGAGAAATACTAAAAAATTAAAAATTAATCAAATATCGCACGCAACTTTTGGTATCTCTTACTCTTTCACAACTTAGAAGCCCCCATCCAGCTCAATTTTGACTTTCCAATTTAAGTCAGTCTCTTCTCTCACCTAATCTCTTGTTATTTTCATAACATCATAAAACAAACACTAATTTTAGTCGTCTATCAGCTTACAATTCGTCAAATTAAAGATTACCAATGGCAAGAGTTTGAGATGTCACATCTCCTCCATTCTCCTTATCCATTTCCTAGCTTTTTTCATCCAAAACCCCACCGGAACATCGACGGAAGTTCCCCGGAAGAGACATCCGAAGCTGGAGAAATCCCTGGAGAAGAAATCGGAAGTGTAGAAGAAAAGAATATAATTTTTTTTAATAAATATTAAAATGAGGTGGAAATTTTGAAATAATTAAAATTATTTATTATATTATTTTTAATGGCCACGTCACACATTTAACGGTCAACTATCAAAGTTGACTGCCACGTTAGATAAAGTTAACGGAGAGTGACCAAACTTAAATTGTTAAACTAATTTAAGTGACTACAAATGAAATAAATTAATTTTAGTGACAAATATGAACTTTTTATTATGTAATTCTGGTCACCAAACTTGCAATGTACCGTAAGTTATAACTGTTGTTATTGTTGGCTTTAACACTATGTTTGGCTACAGGTGCAAATAGAGGGGGTGCAAATTTTGAGAATAAATGTCATTTCCAATGCATTTACCCAATTTGGTTAATTTGGAACAGTGATAGGGGGGACAAGTGAGACGTAAGTTCACTATTCGCCTTATCCCTCTAATTTGGGGTGCAAGAAGAGAGAGAAGAAGGGAGAAGAGTGAGTGGTTAAAATTAATGTTAAACTATTATAATATGTATTATTATATCTAAATAATTTTATTTTGAATAGATATATAAATATTAATTGGTATTATTAAAATATTAAGAAATGTTATAATTACTATTGATTATTGAATCATAAATAATAATTTTTATTAGGTTAAATACACTTGTATATCCAAAACTTTCACGGTTGTGCCAATAATATCCAAATTTCCCGAAATACCACTTATATCCATGTTTTAAAGTTGTTCTTTGCCAAATCTATTCATTTCCCAAAATATTTTTGGTTAAATACACTTGTATATCCAAAAACACCGTTAAAGAATGTGAAGGAATTGGATATAAGTGGTATTTCGGGAAATTTGGATATTATTGGCACAACCGTGAGTTTTGGATATACATTATACAAGTGTATTAAACCTTTTTATCATTATAGTTCTTATTAATATAAAATTTGTCCAGCGGCGGATCCAGGATATAAAAGTGCACTGGGCCGGATTCGAACATAAAATTAGATACCGTAAACAAAAAAAAAATTATAGTTTGCATTACAATGTCAATTGTACACGACGGTCTTTTAATTTAGCAAATTCATCAATAATTGAGTCTTCATCCATACCAATAACATACTCTCTCTCAAAGAAAATAGTTAAGCAATCAGCAAGAAATTCATCGCCCATCTTGTTGCGCAAATCAGTCTTCACATGTTTCATTGCTGAAAAGGATCTCTCTGTAGTAGCCGTTGAAACAGGCAATGTTAACACTAGACGAATCAACCGACAAATCAATCTGTACCGTGCGTCCATCCCTGTTTCCACCAGCTTCTCTAGTAATTTTGCAAGGGAAGAAACATCATATTCCTGACAATGAACCACATGATCGGCATAATATCCTAGCTCATTCTTCAAACAATACATCTCATTGCCTTCAAAGTCTCGAGGATAAAACTCTTCAGCAAGTCTGTAAATATTTTCTTCATCAAAAGACCGGAAAGAACTTTTAGGGTCTAGTGCACCACTCAACTGAAGCAATCTGACTGATGACTCATTGAATCTTGAATTCAATGTTCCCAACTGAAAATCTATGCATTGATTAAAGTATTCAAAATGGTAACGGTGCTCAAGAGTTGTTTGCTTCTCACCACGTCCAAGTGTAGCATTCATATTAGGCACCTCTATGGCATGTTTTGAGCAAAAAGATTTTACCTCTTGGAGTAGCTTGTCCCATCCTTCATCCCGTAGCTTTTGAAGTTTAACTTTTGCCATGGAAACAAATCCAACTGCAGCTACAATGTCAACAGATTCTTGTTGAAATGCTTGACAAAGAAAATCCGTGATATCCATAATCCCTTTCATCAAGTGAAGATTGAACACAAACTCAAAAGTCTTGATATTTTTTGAAGCACCTCTGGCTTGAGCTCGTTGTTCTCCTTCTTTAGAACGGCAAAGATCCTCTAGAACTACACATGTTGCATTGAACATGTTTATAATGCTCAATATGGAATGATAATGAGATCCCCAACGAGTTGGCCCTGAACGCTTTAAGGATGTCATTTGATTAGCTCCTTGTCCAGATTGAATTTCTCCAGCATCCAACATACCATCAAGATCTTTTTTGTGAATTGCTTGCAACTCCCTGATCCGTTTAGGAGAAGCCTTCACAACATTTATGATACAATCCAATATGGAAAAGAAATCCCATATAGGATCACATACCTTTGCAGAAGTAATCAATGCCAACTGTAATCTGTGAGCAAAACAGTGGACAAAATAGGCATATGGGCAATCTCTAAGAAATAATGCCTTGACTCCATTAAACTGTCCTGACATATTACTAGCACCATCATATCCTTGACCTCTCAATTTTTCAATTTGAAGGTCATACTGAGAGAGAACGCCACAAATAGCTTGTTTTAGTGTTTCTGCAGAAGTATCAGCTACACTCTTGAGAGCAAAAAAGCGTTCAGTTACTATACCAGAAGAACTGACATACCTCAAAATAATAGACATCTGTTCCCTTCCTGCTTCATCAACTGCTTCATCAACAAGAATAGAGAAACAAGAATCTCCAATCTCCTCGCGTATCTTACAACGCACTCTATTTGCTATGATTCCCAATATCTCCTTCTGAATGCTTGGTGAAGTGTATTTCGCATTTCCTGGTGCGTTACGAAGAACTACACTATTGATTTGATCATTCAACTTCGTTGCAAAACCAATCCAAGCTAGAACATTCCCCGGATTCAAAGAATCATCAGATTCATCATGTCCTCTAAAAGAACTTCCTTGTAAAGCCAACTGTTTGACAACCATAATTGTTGTTTTCAACCGCAATCGATGCTTTAGAACTTCTTCTCCACCAATTCTGTGCATCACTTTATCAATATGACCGGAGGGTTTCATCAAGGCATCAGCCGCTGTAACACATTTATTATGGCTTGAAGATGCTGATGAACCAACATGAACAAGGAACACACATTTCTTACCATTAACCCTCTTCCAATTATCAAATCCATCTTGCACTAGTGCAGAAGTTTGATTCCCATTCATCTTGTCTCTAAACAAAAAACATGGGAAACAATATGCTTTATGTGTTGTAGGAGAATACTCCAACCAATCAAATTGTGAATACCATGCTTCTTGAAAGTGACGAATTTTATCTGCGTATTCTCGCGGCTTATAGTATGCGAGTTTAGGTTGATAAGCCTTGGGTATTAAGTATTTTCTCCTAACCTCATCTCTCAACTCAAGAGCCCAATCACATATTTGTTTCCTCTTTCCTGGATCTCTTTCAATTTCAACTCCACTATCAGATGATGGAAGTAGATTACCGGATACAGGAGAAGTAGATGCTTCATTCTGAACTGGAGAGGAAGATGGTTGACCTTCATTAGGAGGGACTTCTTCGGTCTGACATGATTCAGATTCCTTACGTTGATAGTAAGAAAACAATGTTGTTTTCACCTTTTTATTTGGTGGTTGAGAAGATGTCATGATGAAATATCTTGAAATCTGCATAACCAATTATACATGTACACAACTCAGTCAAACACTAGATTCTTAGTAAATTTGGATACAAACTACTGTGAAGGGAATAAGACTAACTTAGTTTCTAAGTAAATAAGACTAACTAAACTAAGACAATAAGATCAATAATCAATTGGCAAATTGCAATTACCTCTCTAGTCTCTACGCACTTTCTTTGCAATAAGACAGATCACAAATTCTGAAATTCACAATTCACAGATGCTGAGAGAATAGAAGAAAGCTGGGCGGCGGAGGTGAGGCCAGCCTCAGCCTGGCCAAAGGAAGTAAGGAACTCCGGCACCGGCCGCCGGGTCAGGGAGACAGGGCCTCCGGTGATCAGCGCCAGCGGGCAGCGGCAATCAGCGCCAGCAGCAGAGCACGAGCAGGTCTGTCTGTTCGTCTTCTTTTTTCTTATTTTTTTTGGGTTTCAGACTTGCAGGGGAAGCCAATGATGCGGGAGATTTTTATTTCATATTTGGATTGTTTCATTTGTTTGGGCTGCAGGATTGTTTGGGGCTTTGGGCTGCAGGGGAAGCTGATGCAGGGGTGCCTCTTGAGACGGGCTGGGCCCAAATAATTAAACACTAAACTGATGCTGGGGTTGGGACTTGGGGAGGCAAGGAGGGCTGGGCCCGGGCCCAGTCTGGCCCCCCCCTGTATCCGCCGCTGAATTTGTCCACGAATCACAGGTTTGTCAAATTGACTCCAATTGTTGAATTTTTTTAACGAAGTTTAACTCAAATTTGCGTTGAAAAGTATAGAGAAGAAGTCAAGTAGAATGAGAAAATGTTTTCGTTAAAAAGTATACAAAAGAAGTGTCTTGTAAATACCGAAGAGACACCACGGTTCTTATGAATTTGGTTTGGTCCGGACAAGATCGAACTGTTGGTCTCGGCTGGAAATTTGTTACGCCCAATCCGATTCATCCGACCTGTTATGCCATACACGTGCAAGTCACGAAGAAAAATACAAGGGAAACCAAGGACAAAAGTAATATAATTAAAAAATAATACTTGAGTCAGGCAGACTGAGTTGTGCCGAACCGGGTGGGGATCCGATTCGGTAGGGGTGAGTCACTGAGTGGGACAGGAAATGAGGGAGAAAGGCAACTCGTTCAACTTTTTGGTCAAGTTGTGTATTTTAAGGTTTACAAAGCACTGTTGACTGTAGCTGTAAGGCGAGCAGTGGGTGGGGAGTGAGGCGGGGAAGGGCCACGAAAGCCAGAGAGAGGGAGAGGGGGATGGGGATGGCCAGGAAGGAAGCCGGGCTTAGGGTTTGACTGAGTGGGGGAAGGAAGCCGAAGAAGAAGAAGAAGAAGAGAGCAAAAAGCGAAGAAATTCAGAAGAAGACTGGAAGGTGGCTGGCGGTGGTGGTTTAGATCTGAGACCCCGAGGAAATTGTATTTCTCTTTCTTTCCCTTTCTTTTTCAATCGGGTCTTATCATTCTACATCATGATCTGATTCACCATTTCTGTATCTCTCCTCTTTTTCTCTCTCTGTCCATCCCACTCACTCACTATAATTACCCAAAAAGTCGCAAAACCCCAACTGAAAAATGCCTTCTAGGCCTTACTTCCACAAGATAATTCTCCCCAGAACCCTTCAGGACAGGAAGCTGGTAACACCAATCTCTTCTCTTTCTATTGTTTCTCTCTTCTGCTCTGAACTGGGTTTATCTTTTGGGGATTTTACACTGCGATTGGATTTTTTTTTCTCCAGCTGATGTCACTGTTACATGCTAGTTTAATTTTAGTGGGTTTTGATTGTTGATGAGTGCGGTGAAGTGGTACCCAAGATTTTATTTTGGTGGAAGGAGGTGGGTATGCTACTAATTAGTAATACGTGATAATTCAATTGAAGTTTTGGAGAAAATGGAGTTAGGAAGACTGTGATTTGTGAATCAGGGTTTTGACTGAGCTGTTTCCAATTTCATGTTATAGAAGATTGTGTTTGAGTTTCTTTTAACTGCTATGTATGTTGGAGAGGCAAAGAGGAATGCGAAGTCTAGACAATTAGACTTATTTTTTCTGTCATTACTCAATGTGGAGAACATTTCCTAGGTTGAATCAGTAGCTTGCAAGTTTGTCTTTAGAATTGCTGAAGTGAATTTAGCCTGTGGTACTTTCACCACTGCTTCTGGTAATGCGTATCAGTTAATAATTGAGAAAGAGTCTGAAAGTTTCCTTCTTGACTTCAGAATCTGATATCACTTGGCTTGTTTTTCATTTTAACACTTGTTAATGTTTTCCACAAAATGGTAGCTGAAGATCATGGGCAATGGTCAGGTGTCAACTGCAAACATCAAATAAGAAACAGTACTGCATGTGTTGTATATAGGGGTGTACATGGGTCGGGTGGTCCGGGTTTAGTCATTTTAATCACCCGACCCATGCACTACGGTTTGGGAAATATTAAACCCAAACCCACCCAAAAAAATCTAAACCCTACGGTTTGTTTCTAATTGGGTTGGGTCGGGTTGGCGATATTTTTAAGTAAAAACCCAACCCAACACAAAATATGTAATTATTCTACATCATAAAAATATTTTATAAAAAATTAAAAATTCAAACGAATAAACCGAGGTGAAAGGTATCAAAATTCACAAATATTGTTTGAATTTTAATAAAACTTGATTTACTTCAACTTATGTCTAGTTTTTTTCATGCCATTTGTTGAAATAGGCTAAAAAGGTTACAAATGAACGCATCCATAATATGATATTCTTTTAAAATTGTACACAAGAAAAAAAAATACGTGAATCATAGCTATATTAAATATATGTCTAAACTTTAAGTCGAAGAATGCATTAGATTAGTGTGACTTTAATAGAAAAACATGGCGAAATATCTTAATTTTCTCATAAGTATGACTATATACGACATAAATATTTTTTTGGATACGAACTCATACCAATAATTGGAACACGGGTTGGGTCGGGTTCTACGGGTTGTGTAATCTAAAATCCAAACCCAACCCAAATGAGGCGGGTTGTACAAAAGAAAACCCTCACCCAACCCAAAACCTTCGATTTAGCGACAAATACGGGTGGGTTGGGTCGGGTTGGACGGGTGGGTCGGTTTGCGGGTGTGTTTGTTCACCCCTAGACTTGTATATGCAGCTCTGCGATTTCACCTCTTAAATTGTTTATACGATCCTTATGTTGCAGCTTCTCTTCCTGAATTTTAGAAATCCATTAATATGGAGCATTGGAATGGGCATTGCCTTCACTAGCGCTCTCGTTCTCTGATCTCAAATGTGTCTGGATCCCCTAAAGTTGCAATTTTTGCTTTCTTTTGTTAAATGGGTACAAACATATAGGGATATTATGTTATACGTGAGTTTTCTTTCCTCACTGTGTATGACATATCTAAACTGCAGTATCCTCAAACTTGTCCCATTTGGCACATTTTCTTGACATAAGAGATATGTGCAATTCTAGTATTTTGGTCAGTACAGAAATTACTAAGAACCGATTCTTATTCTAGAACTCATCCATCATTCTCCAAAAGCCTTTGAACGTGAATTTTGCTGCAGAAGAAGTCTTGCAGTTTTACATCATTGATGTTATGATATCATTAGCTCCTTGTTTTTGGGTGCATTACTCTACTGCATTTGTTTGATTCCTTCTCTGCCATTTATTTTCACTTGACTTCACTGCAACTAGTACACCATTTTCCTGGAGTGCGCTGATCAGGACTTGACAACTGATTGTCCTTTGTTGTGTCCTCATGAAAATTTTCTTCTTGGAGTATGCTTAAGGAAAGAATTGAGCCTAACTTAACTTAGCTGTATGCAGAGGATCCCAGATAACTTTATCAAGAAATTTGCAAATGACCTCACTCCACTTGTCAGGCTCACTGTTCCGGATGGTCATGTGTGGCGTATAGGAATAGTAAAAGCTGACGATAAGTTTTGGTTTCACGATGGGTGGCATGATTTTGTTGAGAGTTACAAGATTCGTGTTGGCTACTTGCTGATTTTCAGATATGAAGGAAATGCAATCTTCAATGTTCATATATTCAATTTGTCTGCTTCTGAGATAAACTATCAAACTAACACTCTCAGTGGGAAAAGATGCCTTCTATTTGATGATTTGGAAGACGAGGACTGTGCCGAGTACTTGAATCCATTGTCAGTTTACCAAGTTCCCTACACAATGAAAGGTTAGTTCTTTCCGCTAGATACATTGATAAACTGAACAATATTTTCTGACTTCAACACAACTCTGATCTGCTAACTTGATGTGCGAAGGAAATCCGCATTTGACAAGAGTAACGAATGTTCCACAACCAACAACTCAGCCCGCTGGGGATGGGAATCTTCAGTTTAATGCATTTGATCAACGAAATGCTTCAGATGCACCACCAGCAGCAGCCGTAAAAGTTCCCAAGAAACGTGGAAGAAAAAGGATAAAGCCTGATCCGAGTAAGTTCAGGGAATTCACCCCTTCTTTCAGCTAGTCTTTGATTTGGACTTACTATTAATTTCGGCTCTTAAAACAAAAAGATGCAGATGAGCAACAACCACCCTCCTCCCCAAAATCCCAAGAAGATGGAGAAATGCGCTTGAGATTCTACAAAAGTGCCTCGGCGAGGAAGAGAACTGTGACGGCTGAGGAAAGGGAAAGAGCGGTAAATGCAGCCAAAACATTTGAGCCAGAAAATCCTTTCTGCAGGGTTGTGTTGCGACCATCTTATTTATACAGAGGTTGCATTATGGTGAGCTACTTGAAACTCATAAGTTCGTTGCTTTTCTCTCAACAATCTTTACCCTGGGTCTGGTGCCTATTTGAGAAGTATAGCAAATATTAGACTAGCTAATCTGTTGGAAAAATGGTTAAATAAGTAATGATGGCAAGCTGGTTATTTCTTATCAACTGGAGACGCCAACTGATCGTTACTCGCGTTTCCAGTATCTACCATCCTGCTTTGCAGAAAAGCATCTCAATGGAGTTTCTGGATTCATCAAGCTTCAGTTCACCGATGGGAAGCAGTGGCCTGTTCGATGTCTTTATAGAGGAGGGAGAGCTAAACTGAGCCAGGGATGGTACGAGTTCACGTTGGAGAACAATATGGGCGAAGGAGATGTCTGCGTTTTTGAGCTGATGAAATCCAGGGATGTTTTGCTGAAAGTTACTGTGTTCCGAGTCATGGACACTGCTGGCAACTACCTCCGCAACCACCATCGATCTTCTCCTCCTACTCCTTTGGGGCACTAGAATCTTAAGCTGGGGATCCGCATCATAGATTAGGAAGGCTGGAAGTGGTGAGGACTTCGTTCCTCTCTCGTTGCTGTTGATGATTGTCTATCATGATCTGTTATGGAAGGCTCTCTGCTGGCACGTTTCCTTCTGCTACTTGCAATCCTGTTGATGATTGTCTATAAGAAAGAAAGAAAGAAAGAAAGAACCACCATATGCAAATTAGCAGGAAGCTTCTTCACTTGTTATTTTAGGGGTGCTTTTTCCACATCGATTTTTGTGTGGGTTTGATTAGGGCTGTAAATAGGTTGTTCAATCAAGAAGACATCGAGCTGGACCAGGACCATCAGATCTTTGTGTGGCAGCTCTGATTCATGTTTAAATTTTTATGCTTGATTCCATTCTCATTAGGGTTTATGGTTGGTTTGTTTGCCAGATCTTTGTGCTCCGCTTGTTGGGTCTCTACCCTGTTTTGTTCACTGTTTAGACTCTTAGAACACTCTTTTGGGTTGCACTACCGTCATGCTGGTTTGCAAGTAATATGTGGAGTACTAACGACAAATTTACTAATGACGTGATGAAAGGTAGAGATGTGCCACCTTAACCAACACTTCCCCTATAGCATATGTATAACCAGGGAAGTGGTACTTTTTTTGTTGAAGTCGATCAACTCCTCAAATTAACAAACACACCTGCATTATGGTTAAATTTGATCCAAGGTGAACCATTATTGTTCATAGATAAGGTTGTACAAATGTGGCAAACTGTTGAGTAATGTTCCCTCTAGATTTATAGTTTTGATTCTTCAATGTTGTTTACTCTCAATTCTTTTTGTCCATTGGAATTTATATATATATATGGTGGTGTCTTCGGTGCACTCATTTTTTTGGTGCATTCAGTGCACTCGCTTCATAACCATCATTTTTAAACATGTGATTTATGTCAAAATGATGTCAATCATCACTTATGATGTGATGAACAATAACGCACATGAATTTGCGTAAAACTCATTGAAGATTTAGTTTAATTTGAAGAATTTAGAGTTTAGAGATTTAGGGTTAGGATTTACAATTTGGGGCTTAGGGATATAACTCAAAATTGGAGGTCTAGGGCTTAGGGTAATCCGCTAATTAGTTGTTATCATATGTTATATCATCATATATACTAATTCTACAAATTAAAATTCAAAACCCGACACCATAAGACTAGTTTTTGAACATGGTGCATTGAACACACTCATTTTTGTGAGTGCACCGAAGTAGTCACCATATATATGTATATATATATATGGGCAGTTCTAGGGTGCCCGTGGCAAAATCCGGGGTACGGGTAACCGGGAGCAAGGAAAATTACCAAAAGCATCACGAAGCGTTTAAGCTTTTTTCATTGGACTTCAACCTAACTGTACCTGGTTTAATTATATCGATTAAGAGGTTACACCCTATGGATACGACCCGCCGCCCTAACCAATTTCTAGTCCCTCATTCGTCTTGGAGGGGACGTCCCCTCTTAGTTCGAAGTTCGAACATAATCCTTTTATCATCGTTTCTGAAATCTGAAATCCTTTTATCATTTGATTCACATTCGATTTAGCTCCCTATCCAATATCAAATCCCCAACATCATCATGTTTTGAACCCCAAATCTATGTATCCACGTTCGAAGAGAAGATCCCTTTTCAATCTAAAATCCCCACATAATCATCGTTTTGAACCACAAATCCTTGTATCCACAATCGACGTTTTGTTCTTCGCCATTTTATTTCCTACCGGAATCTAAAATCCCCACATAATCATCGTTTCCTTGTATCCACAATCAACGTTTTGTTCTTCGCCATTTTATTTCCGACCGGAATTTACACAAATTGAAGATGAAATAAGCAACACAGTCTTCGACCTAATTGAGGAAGAAGATGAAGAAGACAGAATTTGATTCGAATCGGATGGAGAGGTTGCCTTAACTTGTGTTTATGTATTAACGGTGCGTTTAGGACAAAGTCTAGTTGGGCTTTTAAATTCCCTTCAAAAGTGGGCTTGTGTACATGATTCGGATTGTGAAGAGTCTGGGCTTTTATTTACATCTGCATATGCTTCTGATTCTAAATCCTGATCATGTCTTGCGTTCACGCAATTTAGACACAATTATGTGTTCCATCTTTTTTTTGGGATTCGGTAAATGGTAGCGTGTCTCTTTACACATTTATCGGTACGAGGTAAAAAACAATCCGCCCAATTTAATTCTTTATTAATTGCCCCTATTCCACTCTCTCACGGTTTGCCCCTCTTGACATAACAAACCTCTTGTAGACTAATTAGAGGCTTGTGGTTGGATACTTAGTGAGGACATTTTTTAAATTTATGTTTTGAAACGAAAGTTAGAATTTCACTTTTGAAGTACTTGTGTACTTTACTTGGGAAAGTATTTTCAAAATGTAAAATTTTATCAGCGTATAGGTATGCGATTATTGTATAAGGTGTTTATGGTTAAGTTAATGATTACTGGCGGGTTAGTGTATTAGGTTGTTGATGGTTTAGAGTATATGGTATATGGTATATGAGATGGTTTAGAGTATATGGTATATGAGATGGTTTAGAGTATATGGTATATGGGATGGTTTATAAGGTGTTGAATTGTTGATGGTCTAGAGCATATTGTATTGATTGGTTCGGCTGAGGGTAGGTGTTGTTTTATTTTTCTCGATTTTATATTTTCTTAACATCTTCTTATAAATGCTGATCATGCCTTATTATCAGGAAATTTAGACATAGTTATTGTAGCGTGTCTCTTTACACATTTATCGGTACGAGATAAAATGATTTGGTGTGTGCAAAGTAGGTTCTCATTAACGATTTTGCCATGTTGGTTATCCCGGCCATTAGCGATTCGCCACATATGGAATCAAAATTAGTTAGAGTTCTTAACTTCATCTTTCTTCATTTATTCTTTGACTTGAACCAACATGTCTTTGCTCCGAAGGATTTTGGGTGGTAGTGGCGTGCTAAAGACAATCCGTCAAATTTAACTCTTCGTTAATTCCCCCCCCCCCCCCCATTTTTTTGGTAGAATAATTACCCCTTTTCCACTCTCTCAGTCCCCGACGAAGTTGAAACAATCCCCTGTGATATATTTATCGTTCATTTTAACCCTTCACTTAATAAGAAAGCGAAATTATGCAAGATGGTCATCAATTTGATGTAGCCTAATTGGTTAATTGTCCTTTATTTGCTTAGTCAATAAAGTAGAGGTTTGTGGTTTGATACTTAGAGAGTATCAATTTTTAATTTATGTTTTGAAAAGCAAGTTATAATTTCAATTTTGAAGTACCTATGTAATCTAGTTGGGCAAAAATTTTATCAGCGTATAGGTATACGATATTGTATAAGGTGTTGATGGTTTAGAGTACATGGTATTGGGTTAGTTTAATGATCATCTCCATCCCTAAAATACGATATTGTATAAGGTGTTGATGGTGTGTTGATGGTTTAGAGTATATGGTATTGGGTTAGTGTATTGATCATCTTCATCCCTAAAATTGAACAACAATTTCTAAACGAGGTCCCTACCGCCACATCATCAATTTTAGCAATTCATCACTTATCAATTTCTATTCATCTACATCCCTAAATTATGCTAGCAATTGCCACGGTGGGTTCCATTTAATATTTCAAAGGAAACACTTATTATAAATTGAAAGTTGGGGATGGAGATAGAAGAAGGTGTTGTTGGTATACAGTATAAGGTCTTGAAGGTTATGGTATAAGGGAGGAGCAAGGTGTTGATGGTTTAAAGTATATATGTTATTGATTGGTTACGGTATAAGCCTATAAGGTGTTGTTATTGTTGTAGAGTATATGGTATTGATTGGTTCATGTATTAGGGTTTGGTTTAGGGTTATGATTCAAGTTAGAATAACATAAACCAGATCAATAGAGTAATGTTGGTAAACGAAAAAGTTAGTTAATCTATAAATTCAGACTATTTATAAAAGCACATCCCCATTTCCCACCGTCAATTCCTAAACTTTTCCCTTAATCCGATGGTGAACTACCTTCGATCCTTGTCGCGTGCGTGTCACCCAATCAGATATTGCCGAATTCGGAAAGTCTCTTTTGCCCATAACCAATGCTGGCGTTACCAAGGCCGAGGCAGTGGTAGGGAGTGTAATTTTCAGTAAATGTGAAGGGAGGGAAAGTAAAAGTAATTACGAGTCAATCTATAAATTCGTTAATAAGTGAAGGAGAGACTGTGCTCCGAAACTCGAGGGCACTCATCTCCTGCTGCTGTTCGTTCCTCCTCCTCTCAATCCCTGAAAAGAACCCTTTCTTCCATCTTCTCAATATGAAACTCCAAAAATCAACCCCATCCGCCTCTTCGTCCTCCTGTCCCATGCTTTATTTTCGGGTGCAGTGGTAATGATGAGACTGCGTATTATTTTAGATCTCAGTTCCTTTCATTATGTCATTGTTAGATCATGACTGTTAAACTAAATCCTTCGTTGTATTGTTTCTCCTTTTCTCTCCATGCAGGGTCTTTGTTAGAGGCAGGGAGGGGAGCAATGACAATAAGTCGCCGTCTGATATTGCCGAAAGAATCATCATATGTTGTTACGATTCCATAATAGGTGTTGTGGAACCCTACTTTATATGGTGATTCTTTTGGGCAATATTGACGCGTACATGTTGATCATGCTCCCAAAATGTATACAAGAGGGGAAAGTTGCCATATGTATAATAGGATAAAATAGGGAGGGAAAGTACAACTTTTTGTTTTTGTTGGACTATATTGTAAATAGTTTAGGACCATATGTAACATTTGTTTATATTTGGATACTGTTTTGTTATTTGTTAGCTGGAACTTGTATATATTGTAAATCTGAACAATGTAAATTTCACCTTTTATGAAATAAAACAAGTAGACTCGTTCTCTCTCATCATGGTATCAGAGACTTTCTAGAGATTTCTTGGCGTTTCGCTTTCTTTCTTCCGTTTTTTTTCTTCCGCTTCTCTCTTCGCTTCCATGGCGGCTTCCACCTCGTTTCAATTGCCGCTGCCGATCTCGGCGACTCTCGCACCAAATCATCCATACTTCATCAGTTCCGGCGTTTTTTCAAAAAGTGTACTTTTAGTGTTTGAGATCTTCTAAATCTGCGAGGGATCCTCCACTCCCTATAAAAATACTGTACTTTGTACTTTTAGTGTTTGAGATCTTCTAAATCTGCGAGGGATCCTCCACTCCCAATAAAAATACTGTACTTTATTTGTTGACTACTGACTCCATTTTTAGAAGTCTTTACGATTGGGCCAACCGGATTTTTTTGCCGGATTTCGAACTCTGCTCCTCTGTCGCCACATGCTCTAGCCATTTAATGAGTGCAAAAAATTAGTGCAAAAAATACGATATAATAATTGAATAAAAAAACTAGTTCTCAAAATTATTCAACTGAAATGTTGCACATGATTTATTTAGAGTGCTTAAAATTTGCATTCAACTGACCATTAATGAGTGCATAAATTAAACGACACCGCAAGAGGCAACAGTCTTCTTATATACCAAACGACTCGGCATAGGAGGACTTCCAGTTTCAGTTCAAGTTTCCAACACCGATCAAATATGTGGTCCCAATTGCCACTTCAACAACTTTAACTATAACTCACTCCTCATTTTCATACCATCTACATCAATGCCATCAAGATGCAATTGTGACCGTGGGTCCTACTTAATTTTCAATGCAATTCAATATTAATTTGTGAGTGTGTTATATTAATTTGAGTTTTGTCATCTTAACGCGTTTAGTGTGTTTTTCTCTCAAGTTGTTTTTTGTCGTTGTGTTATTCGAATTATGTAAAGTATTATGATTGAAATTGTATATATGTGTGTGTTGCATGTATGTTGAGAATGAAAAAATAAACACAAACGAAAAAGAAAGAAAGAAAGAAAGAAAAATAAACCAAAAGGACAAAATAAACACAAACGAAAAAGAGAGAAAGAAAGAAAGAAAAAT